AATTACAGTAACTGATCTTAGAGACCTACAGACTATTTTTCTGGTGATAAGACCCACAGGTAAACATTTTTGGATCAATGTTGGAGATAATGATTGCGGCGTGAAAGGTCAAAATGTCAAGCGATTAGCTCAAGTGCCTAGTCTTCAAGACGCTCTCAATTTTTTCGTTTTATTTACCCAAGCTAGATTTGCGATAAAAAATTAGCTTAAGGATACTTTTAACCAGAAAAAATAGTTTGGGTAGGTAAATGCATGTACCAGATTGACTTTCTGGTCCACGAAAATTGACCACAATTTTGACGTGACGCAGCATCGTCGAAGCATATAATTTGCTGCAGTGTGGACGTTCTTCAAGAAATTGCCTTTAATCATTTAGTTAGAGCTAATTAAGTTTTTATTACATAAATTTAGAGACCATTTCGTGAATTTATAACAGTTTTTAGCAAAAATATCGTGACAATGTCCCTTTAAGTCTTAACTTACCCTCCCACGTGACAAGCTAAAAGAATGTCTGCGTGGGTGGTAATCTAAACAGGGCTTGGTACACTGAATTTTAACTATCTTATCTTTGTTATTTAAATGAATGCAACGCGCATTGACCAATTGTGTTACCGTTTAGCGGAAAACAGTCTGCGATTGTTAACGACCACGTCAATCAGGTAGATACGGATGGTGAATAAACATTAGGCGAGGGCCTTGCAGCTGCAGAGTCGAAACGATGTGACCAGTGCTTCGTCATGGTTTCCAAGGAATTGATCCTCTTTAAGCTCGTCCTTTTGACATTATTGTGGAAGGAAACAAATCAAACTGTTAGAAACCCATCAAATCTCCATGAATATGGGTAAGTTACAGTCAAAACAGCTTGCTGTATTGATTGTGTTTCACTTTAAAAGTAGATCTCACTTTGGCGTGTTTTGCGGAGTCTCCTGTACAGCAAGAAGAAAATGCTTTAAGTTTAACTCGGTTCCAATATGTGGTAGACTAAAGTTTTTCTAACTTGCAGTTGACTACGCAGCTCTGTTACAAAAAAAAAGATTGTAAATCTTTGTTATCTATTGATGGGTTAGACAAGTTCTGAGACTTCCGGCTTCCACATCTTCTACAACGATAGGTTCGGTGAAATAGGAAAGTGTTTTCTATCCCATATTTCAGTTTCGCAGTGGAAGTCTTTACATATGACTTAGCATTGGTACAATTAGCGACAATCGACAGGAAGGAAAAGTGCGAAAGACTTAGGCTCAAGAAGATTCAAACTTTTTTGACTTACTTTCGCTTTGACTGAACTCACACTAGCTACTCCTGCATGGTCAGGGAAGCATGAAGCAAACTTAGGCCTATCATGTGGAATGAAATTTGAAAGAAAGGAATCTTTTATATCGATCTTGGCAACTCGATTCCAAACCGGACCAGTTAATGACTATTGCAAGAGAAATCCATTTCGCAAACAAATGACATTGCGTGTTTTGAAACTCCTAGAAGGAGCTATTTTTACCATGACATGTAATTGGATATAATGCGGTTCTACTGGCGTATTTATTGCTAAAAGGAACATGTTTAGCTAACTATAAAAGGGATCGTCAGTTTGGTAGTCCACTTCAAAAAGACCGAACACAGAAACAGGCTAGAAACAACTTATGCAAAGCGACTTTCGGTTTCAGATAAAACAAACTGAATAGGTCTATATGATTCCCGGAACAAGGATGCATTTCCGAGAATCACATACCCGAAATGAGATGACCCATCAAACTGTTTATAAATAGCTTTCCATAACTGATACTCACGCAGTAGTGAGAAGTGGTGGTGATCTATTAATTCAACGGTTAATGCATTCCTCTGAGGCCCCGTTACAAGCAGGTACTCTTAGCGCAAGAGTTTCCCTACCAAGAAGGCCAAAGATATCCAAAATGTTTCGGGGACTCTCCCACACGAGACAACTCTAGCTGGTCACGCTTTAGTTAACCTGGTAAATAACAGACGCAATCGACAATAATTTTATTGCCAAAATTTGTTTTCACTTGAATTACGTGGTTTGTCAATTCCACTTAGATCATGTCAGTTTTTAAGCTCAATTAAGATCCCAGACAGTTATTTTCTCTAGTTTGGCATTAATTTGACCGCAAAACTATAAACAATTCTACAATTGAATATTTTAGCCGCGGTAGCGACAGACATTAATGCTTGACTGAATTTCGTCGCAAAAGCCGTTCAATTGGACATATCCAAAGCAAAATTAAAACAAAATGGGAATTAATACGGTGTTTAGTCACAATTTGTATGTTTTGCCGGTATTAAAATTTTGTTTCTTGAAGCCCAAATAATTCTAGCCATATTGTAACACTTTCATGCAAAAAAAAGAAAAACAGAGCTGTGGGAGTGCTAGAGCACTAGTGCCCTAGCTCCTTGTAAACAGAACATGAACCGCGCGGGAGCGACGAACAAGGGTCTAGAAAAACGTTGGATAATGATATCTTCGTTTGTGGTATTATCATTCTGTGTCGCTGTATTTAATGCTCATCATTCGCATTCTGACAAGTGATCGCACCTAATTTCGAAAGTCGATCAATTTCTGTTCCAGGATAATTGGAATAAATTCCAAGCATTCTGTTGAAGATAAGCTTTAAAAGGGCGTAAAAAATAATTTGTCATCCCGGGATGGGCAAAGCGAGAAGGTGGGAAGAGCGTTTTTCTTTGCGAGCCCGACATATTTTGTCTGAAAATTGCGAGACCGAGACTTCAAAATGTTTAAGTGTGAGTGCCTTTAAGACGTTCAGGTGTCATTTATGAAAACGAACAAACAAATCGAGCTTCCAGACATGCTTAGCCTAGCAAAAAAATCTAGACTTTGCGAAAACAAATGGAGACTGCGAGACACACATAACCATTAAAACCTTCGACGCAAATTTGCCACCCGTAAAATTCGATACTCACAACTGGTCTCGATATAAACTTGTTTGTTGAGGGTTCTCTTTAAGTCTTAAGATTTCTTCCTTGCACAAGCAAATGATGGATAATCACAATGTGAAAACGGTGACCTGAATAGGAAATATACGGTCGCTACTCGATGCCCCCACCGTAAGCAATAAGTAGGCCGCAAAGCTTAAGAGTGACTGCTCGATCGAGGCGGCCGTATTCGAAATTAGAAATGATTGTTGCTTGGAAAGTGGAGTGCATGTTTACCGCGACGATGCGACTCTGAAACTCAGTCAGTCAAACAAGGAGAGTAACGCAGCCAGCAAAACGCCTAACTCCGGAAAAAGATCAATCGAAAGCACTCTACAACGTCAAATAAGACATACCGCGTAATGTTAGTGTATAGAAATCGAAAAATTGAATTGTTTTAGTAGGGTTCACAATGGCAATACAAAGAACGGTCGAAACCATCCTCTATTGTGCGAAACCAAAAATTTCTAAGTAACTTACGCACGCCTGAGTGACTCCAATTTAAGTTTCTAATTCGTCCAAGAATCGTGCAAGAATACAAAGTATCGATCCAAACCTTTGTAAATAGTCAGACCTTGTTTACAAATCGTAAAAAAAGAAGAAAGCATAAGACGGAATTAAAGTTCAAACTTATAAATTTGTCGATGCTGGTTTTATTTTTGAATGTAAACAAGCGGTAAGCTGGCAAACAAAAAGATGTGTTCAGACAAGTTACTTGCTGCGGGGCATATTTTGTCCGCTGTAAAATTGCGTCAATGAGTAAATTGTTTGAGAAACTTCTGAAGACGGCGAGAATACAACGGGAAGCCATTTTGGATACCAACTGTACAATCCTACACTTATGGTTGACAGTGTACAAGTAGAGGATCCAATCAGATTGCAGCATTTGCATATACTAGTGAATTGCAATTAAGCAAAATAATGGATGCTATCCTTTTCAAGACTGGTTCTATATGAGACAGAATTATGTAACATTTATATCTTTCAGGCAGAACGTTTGTTCTAGGCAAACTACACAGGTCGAGTCGTATTACACTACTACAGCAACGACGTCCTACACCTACTCAACTACTAGCTGTGGGTGGTGGGGTTGGGGTCGCTGTGGGGTATCAAGGTAAGGGATCTGATCTCTGGAGAATTAACCTGCATGGTGCTTGTTGAATTGTGTTCATCTTCTTGTAAAGTAATACTGGTCATCGATATAGTTTGTTCATGTGGTTTGTTTCGTCCCTTCCCAATTTCGTCTATGTTGGCTAATCAATGTTCTCTGTCTAATATATTTCTTTGAAGACCGAGGACAGTGTACCGAACTGTCCAGCGCACAAGAAGAGTCAGTGTAAAAGTCATTTATTGCTGTACCGGTTGGAAGAAACGTTACTCCAGTTCAAGAGAATGTACAGAAGGTAACTTTTAATGTATCCACCACACTTTGCCCTTGATGCCATCCCCCATGCATCCCATGAAAAAATGTCAGCCAAAATAAACAATGACAATATTTTTTTCCGTCGTTTCGCTGAGCTTTCCCCGAGAGTTACGAGACTATCGAGTTCTGCCCTATTACTGTCTGTCGGAATACTAAGGTTGGTTACACAACTTTAAAGTCGCAAACAGAAACAAAAATATTTACTGTCTTGGTGCGTGTTGTTGATAAAACCAAAATTTGATTATTTTAAGTTGAGTTCGATTCGCGAAGATGGCTTAGACGTATAACACACATGCAGTTCCCTTGTACTGCTAATTAAACGTTGCACTGGCCATCATGTCAAAATTAAGTCTAAGTGAATGCTTAACTCATTGACTTCTTGACTCATTGACTCCGACCTCTTTACCTATTGACCCAGCACTGATCCTGGCACTGGCCTTTTGGCCCATTTAATCATTTACGCTTTCATTCATTGACTCGGTTACTGTTTTATTTATTTACTTCACAGCAATCTGTTCCCAAGGATGTGATAGCAGTCGTGGATCCTGTGTCTCACCCAACAGATGCCAGTGTTCAACTGGATGGACCGGCAATACTTGTGTGACAGGTATATCAAACTTGTTTGCAATATTTCCGGTGGCATGGGATTGTGTTCGCTGTTTGTACTATGGCGTACTTTCTCCATACCAATTTCTCTGCTTTGTTTATTATTATTATTATTATTATTATTATTATTATTATTATTATTATTATTACTATTATTATTTTAAGTCCTTAAAGTCTTGCCGCTTTTAACTTATGGTGCCGAGTTCAATCCATGAGCCTAGGGAAGTCATACGTCTGCTGGATTACTTGATGGATAGAGTCCTCCTAAGTATGTGAGCAGTTCCAAGGAGGACGGTCTTCTGTAGCTCTGTTATTCTAATATTGCCTGGGA